TTAAAAAAAAAAAAAAACACTTGTTTCTATGCACACTGTAGTGCTAAGGCCCCGTTCACACTGAGCGGTTCATTGCGCGATTTCCACCGCGAAAATCACGCACATTTCGCGATGTCGCTCTACGTAGCTCGTCCAATGCATTTCAATGGAGCTGTTCACATCTCACAGCTCAATGTCGCCTGTAGCTCGTCGCTCGTACGTGACCCTTTTTCCCGCGGATGTCGTGCGATTCGGCTCCGACAGACTGTATGGTGTCGCGCATTACCGGCGATATTGCGCTACTTGGTCGCGCTACAGAAGGGGTCACTTTTGCACTGCAAGAGGGAAGGAAAGAATGATGTCACATCAAGATCGCTGTTGATTGGTTACAGCCCAATGTAGCAGCGACGAAGTCCCGCCCCAAAAAACGTGCTACGTAGCGCGATAAAATGTGCACTGTCACTCAATATCGCGCAATGAAGCTCCTAGCCGCTCAGCGAAAAATCGCGCGAAAAAACGCGCAATATACACGTCGCTCAGTGTGAATGGGGTGTTAGTGTTGTTTGGCATCTGCTGGACTTTAGCCCTCGTTCACACCTGAACGTTTTGTAGCGCGTTCTACGCTCGACGAACGCTCTACAAAACGCTCAAAAATATAAATCCCATTGTATTTAATGGTCTCGTTCCCACTTTGGCGTATTTCCGCCCGTCCCTAACGCGCTACAAAACGGCCCACGCCTGAAAAGGTACAGGTACTACTTTGGGATACAGCCAAGTAGCCTTCGGAAACGCGCGACTTTTTTACCACATATGCAATACGCCTAGGTGTGAACGAGACCTTACTCAGCACTGCAGCTCAGTCCTCTACAGTGCACACCTGTTCTAGTCAGGAGTGTTTAAGTTGACTGCTGGATATTCAGCCTATGCCTGATCAACAGTCCGTCCTCTTATGACCTCGGGGTTTGCAAATGTATTCAACAACACCTCTGTTTTTAACCTTACATTACATATACAAGGTTCTGCTTCCTGCTTTGCAGTGCTAACAGGCATCCCAACCTGCAAAACCTTATTTCAGGGAGGTTCCCGTCTCATTTCAGGGAGGTGCCCTTTCTGTTTTTTGGGGGTTTTTTTTACAGTGGCCGTCGTCAGAATATAAAATAAATAATAATGATAATATATATATAGATGTACAGGTGAAACTGGAATAATTAGAATATCGTGCAAAGTTCATTTATTTCACTAATGCAACTTAAAAGGTGAAACTAATATATGAGAGAGACTCATTACATGCAAAGCAAGATAATTCAAGCCGTGATTTGTCATCATTGTGATGATTATGGCTTACAGCTCATGAAAACCCCAAGAACCCCAAATCCACAACCTCAAAAAAGTAGATTATTACATGCAATCAATAAAACAAGGATTGTACATAGAACAATATCGGACCTCTGAAAAGTACAAGCATGCATATGTACTCAGTACTTGGTTTGGGCCCCTTTTGCAGCACTTACTGCAATTACTTTTGCACGATATTCTAATTATTCGAGTTTCACCTGTATATACACACACACACACACATACATACACACAGAGTAAAATGAAATCCATATATCAATAATACTACTGTATATATTTATTTATATATACATCAGATTTGTGAATTGATGTTCAAGTATCTGTCAGTGTAAAGGTCACAATTTATTAGACCTTTTAAAAAAAACTCTGTGGAGTAAAGTCCCTGATACACCGTTGACTAGTTGCTATGGGCAGCAAATGAAATAAATGTTCTCTATAACTAGACAACCAGGACATATAATTGATTCTATATTATCCACAAAGGGTTAACAGCACTCTCTCAACCCTGCAGCAGTGCCTGTACCTGCTCTCCATAGTAGTCCATGTCCACCCTCTCTGTGCAGCAAATAGCATCTTCCTTCTGAGAGCCAAGCCTCGTTCTGAGGCTACTCTAGAGATCACATGACCTTCCTCCAGGAGGCAAGCCTCACTCTGAAACTTTACCCACTGATATCTTACCGGAAAGGTTTACTCAGAGTACACTTTTCAGGGAGAAAATGCCTCTCTCGCAGACATCAGGGAGCTGCTGTCCAAAAGAGGGAGACTCCCTGAACATCAGGGAGACTTGAGATCCCTGTGCTAAACAGCAGTTTTGCTTTACTGCTGCTATGAGTCTTTGAGTTGGCTCTGCTCATTGAATACAAAGGTGGACCTACCATCAGTGCAGCTGCACCAGGGCTCGAGGCTGGAGTGAGATCTGTCACCGGCACACCATTTAAACATGAAGTAAATTAATTTTAAAGTGACATTAAACCCTCATATTTTTTAACATAAACCAATACTGTAATGTGCGCCTTACTGTAATCCATGGTAGTTTCCCTTCTCTTTGCTGCTCTTCCTTTTAAATCCGTATATCTTCTCATGCTGGGGAGAACTTCTGTTTTGCAGCAGACTGCCTTGTCTCTGGAATGGATACACGGTGTCTGTGTGCAGGTTCACAACCTGAGCCAGCACTACAGGAAGGGGCACTCAGCTGCAAAGGGAAGTTCTCCCCCAGCATGAGAAGACATGAGGATTTAAAAGGAAGAACAGCAAAGAGAAGGGAAACTACCATGGATTACAGTAAGGCGCACATTACAGTATTG